CGTCTCCACCGCCGTCTCTTCCCCTCCCGCCCCGCCCCTCACCACCCAGCGTGTTCGCACTCGCCGCCGCCCGCGCGCCATCAAGAGCTGGCGAACGGCGCAGTCAGCGCCGCGGCGGCGGCGCTGCAAGGTTTATCCGGCCACTTCGGCCACAATGGGCGGCCATCAACGGACTACCCCGCGCCCAAGGCGGCGGCGGCGGCGGCGGAGGCGGTGGGACGATGTAATTAAAGCGGCGGAGGCGGCGGCCGCGGGCGGCGAGCGGGCCGGTCGACCGAGAGGAGAACGCGGGGCGCAAAAATCCTAGGAAGGGGGAATGCAGGAGGAGATAGATGTAGGACACCAGCGAACATGCTGGAATTAGCACTAGAGGGGGGCAGACGTACGTAACAAGATAATAGTGTAATTCACGGTAAAATGTTTATCATAAAACGGAAAAATTCAGATCTGATATTTAGACAATATCCAGGCAAATACGTACGATTTAAGTTTGGCAGAAGGTAATTCAGTATTTTCGCCATTTTAATTGGTTTCGCCGGCCTAAAAACGTTAGGTGTTTACAAATAAAATTGGGTGACAAAAACACATGTCTGGCAGAAAATGAGTTGACAAACCTGCTGAACCTGCTAACAACAGACTGATAGCTCTGGGAAGAATTGCAAAACCCGGCCCAGCGAACGCTACAGGCCTCGCGAAGAACTGTAATACCGTTTCAATTCCTTTGTTGAAGGAAATGAATAGTTCATGTAGATCGAAATGAGTGTGTGACTAAATGTCTTATGACTTTACAATTATAAAAAATTGGCAATTATTTTTACGAAACTATATATTGTAATAAATGCTAAAAATGGAAAATAATATAACTCACCAACGTCTCTGTATTATAATATTCTTGCTTTTCTGTTTAATTATTTTCCTGTAAACGTTTCTGAATACATTTTGTATAGTATGAACACGTGTAATTATACATCCTTGGACATGGTCATGACAACATCTACCGCATACGTCTTGCAGGATGTAAAAGAAATGAAAAAAAAGAGAAACTGAGGTGAGCTGGTGCCCCAGCTGACGGACGAAAGGTCTGCAGTTAGGAGGGGACGTGACAAAACGACTGTCTGCTATACATGTGTCGTGTATAGATCAAACAAACCGACACAGGTGATGCGGCGTTAAAAATGAATCTTCATCTTCATTCATAACATTTGTGTATGCGATCTCCAAAGTATTTGTTGCGACACTAGGAATATATTTTGGAGAACTTTTATTTTATACCTCCTTACAGTTATAACTAAAAAAAAGTATTAGTAGTAACCCGAAATACGTTTAGATAGATAGATAGATAGATAGATAGATAGATAGATAGATAGGTAGGTAGATTTATTATTTCTGCAGGTAGGTATAGAACCTGGTGGCAGAACACTACAATTTACATATGACAACTAAGAATACTAATACACTGTAATTTTAAAGCATTTGAAGTCAATAATAACAATAATATAACAATAATATAACAATAATAACAATAACACCATTGCCTATAAACTTTATGACTGTCCTGCACGGATTTTTTAAGTAATCAATACACTGCACTTCACTCCACTTCACTACACTTCACTTCACTTGCATTTCACTTCGCTACACTACACTTGCACTTGACTTCTCTATTGCACTACACTTTTTGATTTTGCCTTCTCAATATTCAGAATACATTTGGGCACACCTTCGAAGGCAGCTATGTTACTATGAATGAATAAACTGTCGCGTCGGGTGAGGATGCGTGGAAACGAATAGAAAGAGAACGCGCCTTGAAGAGTTCCTCTCCGCGCAGCGGCTTCGCTTGACCCTCCTAATTAACGGCAACGAAAATAATGAAGCTATGAGTTACCGCAGCCGGTTGGAAGACATGCGTTATGTAACGCGCAGGAGAAAGAAAGAGCGACATCGGAGGCAGCAACATGACAGTTGATGCAGATCAAAAGACATTTGGAGAGTGCTGCTGTAGAAACACGAAGGAGCTACGTGAGTAGTCGTCTTAGTGGATGAGCACAGCCTGCGATGGAGGAGGACAGTAACATGTATTATTAACAAGATTCCGGTCTCGTTGCAGAATGAGAGCGAAGGAGTAGGTAAGGCTTTTAAAGCATCGTATACTACCTACTTCAGTAAAAAGATACTAAAAAAACGAGAACTGACAGTGAGAAGATCACCAGATCTGACGTACTAGTGAACGATCCACAAAGAAAGAAGAGTCAAACGGAAAACATCTACCAACTAGTGAAAAACTACATGTTCAAATTAATTTATATTTAAAAATACTCTCCAATAAGTAATTTCCAAAACAATTCTTTTTTTAAAAAAATAGAAATTATTACAGAAATAACAAAAATTGGTATCGAAATGATAATCTGCAAATATACCGCCTCACGAAATACCTTTTCCAATTAATTAAGCCCTACATACTGTATCTTGCATCGTAGAAGAGAATTTCTGCTAATCCGAACAAGAACACCGTCACATACTTTCCATCATCATAACTGACACAAGCCGGCGGGGAAAAGCTAACATGGTACAGAAGATTGAATACGTTTAACTCATCATCACGGTTGTCATCATCTTATAATAATAATAATAATAATAATAATAATAATTAATAGGTAATATACATTACAGTTGCGAGATACAATTAAAACAAGATGGGTGAGAATGTAAGAAGGTGACGATCATACGATGGAAGATGGAAGTTGATGATGATGAAAGAAGAGAAGAAGAGAAGATGAAAGATGACGAACCGCGGCCTAATCCTTGAGGGGGGTTTTTCCCCTGGGAAAGCCCAGATAGAAGAAGAAGAAGAAGAAGAAACTAAGCAAACAGGAGACACTTAAATTCCAAATGATTTTTTTTGAGAACCGTTCTATTAATTTCCTAATAGTTTCAGAAGCCAACCGGGCGCGGCTTCTCGCAATCCCCCAAGCGCCGCCCTCCGCGCCAGCTGGCCCTCCGCCCCCGGGGGCGGCGTTGGCGGCGTTGGCGGCGGCGGCTCAAAGCGGGCGCCTGCCTCGCAGCCGCACGGTAGCCAGGGAGCCAGTAGCCCCGCGCCCGCGCCCGCGCCGCCTTTAATGCGCCTTCTCCATCATTCATTACGCAGACACCTTTCAATGAAAAACGCCGCTGCCTTCTTTTCGAGACGCGGCCCGCTCCCGCTCCCGCCCCGCGCCGCTCCGCGCCACGCCGCGCGGTGCAGAGAAAAAAGTAAATGAGATCCTGGCTACCTGTTGCTGCCGTGTCG